TGTAAAAACGAGCGTTCTTGCTCATTTTGCTTCCGAGAAACATGCAAAACGGGACGGAAAACATGAAATTTTGCAATAATCTTACGCCACCCTTGCAGAAAACGACGATAATTTTTCTAATTTCATAGACAACAAAAGACTGTATTTTTTCTACATAACCCCCCCCCCTGAATTTAAAGCTGGATTAAATGGCCCCTGATTAAATAGCGCACTAACATTTTGGGAACCCCATAAGTAGATCTATTGCTGGTCAACAAGAACCTGGTTGAATTGGTTATTCTGTGTCGAGTTTTTCTATACTTTTCGTTGTTAAGTTACAGGTTTCAAATATGTGACGTTTTGAAAATTAAGCAATATCGTTTGTACAAATTTCGCATTTTCTAGAGCGTCCTTCATCAGACAACTACTTGCCCTGTGGGCGAAGACATTCTGACCAGCATACAAGAGCAACATGCGATGGCTAACAGGCTTCCACTTCCCGTAATTGTACATAATGATAATGGAGCCCATCACAAAAAACACGGTGTTTCTGCGGAATCGAGCGAGAAATATTTGCAAAGCAGCGACATCACAATTAACAAATATGAAAAAGATTTTCGGTAAGCAGTAAGTAAAGAAAAAGTAGATTGATACATTTGAATTTTTTCGTTATCAGCAGTAACTTTTCAAAACTTTCTCAGTTCTAATTGGCGAATTATAATAGTTTATTTAAACTATTCTAAATAATGCATAAAATGAATATCCAGTCACCTTTACGAATTATTTTAGCTCCAAACAGCTGATAAAAGATGCTATAATGGATAATGCGTTCCTCAAAAATCTGGACACGTCCCAAATTCGCGAAATTGTAGACGCAATGGAGCCCAAAGAATTTCCGGCCGGGTCTTATATTATTCGACAAGGACATGCAGGCGTGCATCTCTTCGTTTCTGCAGAAGGTGACTTCGAAGTGCTACAAGACGACAAGATTTTAGGTCACATGGGACCAGGAAAAGCATTTGGAGAACTGGCAATTTTGTATAATTGCACCAGAACAGCATCAATTAGAGGTACAAATTTTAGAATTTGTCGTGTTGTTTTTTTTTGTCAACGTCGAGTTCTTACAAAAGAGACCTGTTACACACTTAGAAATGGTTGCTGTTATTTTATGCTAATTATTTAGGACAATCCTTTTTTGTTCACATGTTTAGTCGGAACTGTAGGAACTGCTTGAAAATACCTGGATAGTTATCTTAATCTATTACTTCACCGGGTGCAAACTTTAATGAAAATACATCAATATACTTGGGTTTTAACAGGAATTTATTCATATTTTTTACCTTAACAAAATAAGGATGAAAACATATTACAATTATATGGCTGCTGTTTTTCAATTATTTACGCAATTTTTTGCCTCCTCTGTCAGGATTATTAAACTATCAATTTTCTAAATAATTTTGCAAAAGAGAGAAATATTAGACAATTTAAGTTCCCCGGTTTTACTCATGTTCATGTTTACTTCTCGGATAGTTTATTACTTTCATTCATTTCATTTCACTATCCGCTGCTGAACGGAGGCCTCTTCCAATTGTCTCCAGTGTAGTCGATCTTCTGCGGTTTGGATCCAGTTTTTTCTTTTTCCAGTCTATGATGACCTGGGTCATCAAAGAACTAATGATCTTGTTCTTACCTAAGTTCAGTATGTCTTACCTAAGCCCCACTGCTTGTGGTATTTCTTTTAGTTTCTTTAGCATGTTGGTGAGCTCCTTATGATCACTGCTAAACAGGACAATGCCGTCTGCAAAACGTAGATCGCTCAAGTACCTCCCGTCAATGTTAATGTCTTTTAACTCCCAATCCAAGGTCTTGAAAACTCTTTCCAAGGTCAAGGTGAAAAGTTTTGGGGATATTGAGTCTCCTAGTCTAACTCCTCTGTTTATGGGAATTTTTCTGTGTTGATGTATTCTGTTATCTTCACGTGGAAAGCGGCATTCTCGTAGCAGTTCTTTATCAGCGTGGAGTATCGTAAGTCGACCCTTTTTTTCAGTGTTCCTCCTCCTTCTTTCTTCCGTCTTCTTCTTACTGGAGCCTGGTGGGTTTTCGTAGATCTCAGTGACCACCCACCTTTCAACTCCACGAAAATGTCGTTTATTACTTTAAGCGCTTGCAATCGGCAATCTTTAAGTTTCTGAAAATTGTTGAAGATGACTCTATGAACCTCTACTTCCTCTGTGTGCTTATTACACTGTCTCACTGGCTGCAAATGTAAAAGCCGACTTAACTAATGAACGAATAGGATAGTAAAAGAAATCTAAAATATGAAAAATTTGAAAATAGATTTTTTATATCAGCTAGTAGTTGTTTAGGGGATTTATGTATGAGCAAACAATCAACTAAATCAAATTCTTAAATAATCAAGCTTTACAATTACATTTCATTATTAAAATAGCGTGTATGTTTTCAAATATTTTAAAGCTCTCAGAGTAAGATGTATGTGAAGAAATATTATAAGTATACTGAGGACTTATAAAAATAAAAAATGTTTGTTTCTTCGAAAAAAATGCATGCCACATAATATTTGAACTCTGGAGTTTCCCAACTAATGTAACCGTCCAGCTAATACTTATTAATATACATATTATGAATTATTAATATACATATTATGGATTATCAATTCGAGATTTCTCGACTCATTTTTTGTATGAACATTTTCTAAAATACGTTAATTCCCCTCCATAAAATCCGTGTTAATGAATGAAAATTTGACCTACATTTTTTCCGTTTCTGGAAAATAAGAGCAACAATAAACATTAAGTAGGAAAACTACATTTTCAAACAACAGAAGTTAATCTCCTAATGCCAGTACAACGCTCCTACATTTATTTAATTCTGTTGATCTAACAGTAAAAAGTATTTTGTACTTATCATAATTAGCCGAGTCACTCATCAAAAGTGTACAATTGCCAGTTATAATTATTGTGACAATATTCAAATCGCTTATTATAAATATCATTGTCCACAACATACAATGCAAATTTTAATATCTTGCTAATATGTGAACATTTGCCTCAGCCAATTCAGTAGGCACATAAAACGCCCGAATCATTTTGTTGCTATTTCAGATGATTCTTTCTCTAGTAGATATTTCGCACAAACAAGAGATTACGTATTAAGTAAAATTGTTAAAAATTTAAGCAAACATGCTAAAGCAAACACTTTCCTTTGTCAGATTGGTTTCGTGACGACTTTTCGGCAGTCACAGATTTGTCTTAATCAGTAAGATTGTTTCCTTCGTATCTTCATACTGCTCGATGATGATACCTTTCACAAGTTGTGAAACAATTTCCTTCGACAAAGGTGAACAAAAAAAGAATAGGATTCTTCATCAGTGGATTAAATTGTGTAAAAAATGGGTTCCACAGTACAGAAACAACATCTACAGTAAGAGTTTTTTTTGTTTAGACTACAAAAAAAAATATTTTGATAGATTTTTGTAAAACAGGCAAGCTTCCCAGATATTAAATGAACAAGTGAAAGTTAAATATCAAACTCATAATAAAGAAAGCAAACTTAAGTATGATATTATTTAATTAATTGACATAAAGGGCAGCAAGTAATAAAAATTTAATAAAAGTATTCGAGTACTGTTCTAGAAAAATATGTAAAACCTGCTGCTTTTATATTTCATGTGTTTTTGCAAATGCTTGATTGCTGATTAGCTTGAATACATTTTGGAAATGTTTGCAACTTTTCAAATTGTTTTGATCATCGAAATAACTGTGATTGTTCGTTATTAATAATAATTAAACCGATTCCAGCCTACGTGCAACTGAAGCAAGATAAAGAACTGTAGAAGCAGTTTAGCCTCGAAACAAAAACTTTCAAATTCTAAAAGGGTCTTTGTCGCATAGAGAAACTTTTTAAATTGCATATTTTTCTCTATTGATAATGCTACACCAAGTATGACTTACATACTTAACAAGAAATAGATATTTTGATTGGAAATTTAAGTGTTGCGATGATATTTACATTTTTAAATTGTTTGAGATTCAGACGAGTGAATTAATATAAATATTTCAAAAGCTATGAATATCTGTTCCAAACAAATAAACATATTTTACTTTACTTATACGGTCTAATATGAAGCACTTAATCTAAAACTCTTAAAAAACAAAAAAAGTAGTAAAATGATCTGTTTCTAGCATACTACAGTATATACTTCCTTAGATCAGGTTAGAGAAGTTCTTTTGAATACAAAAACTTCATTTCCATAACGCAAACTTTATATTTTTTATTAACAAACAATATCCTTATAGAACATTTTTCAATTTACAAATTACATTTTACGGGACGTTTATTTAATTTAACAATTTAGAAATAACGATTTGCTGCATTTATAAGGTATGATTTATAAATTATGTACGAAAACGCGCTGTCGGTTTTATTAAGCCAAAATATTGAAAATAGTAAGAAATATTATTTAATTTTTAGTAATTAAAGCAGAAACCTGATTTTGATGTCCAAAATAGGTTTGCTTTAACTATGGTGCCAAAGTAGAAAACAAACAACCACTAAATATATCAATTGATAACATTTTACAGTATATGTGGCATCTTTGCAAGATATATTTTTCATCTAAAAGATTACTGGAATTAAATTTGTAATGCTTCATAATGTAGCTGTTAATAATCATAGAAAAATGAGCTGTAGAGCTTTGGCTCCGTTAAATCATATATTTCCTTGAAACTATCAAACAAATGTCGTATTAAATGCAAATAATTGAGGAAAATAAAAATTATTGTATAATGTTTAACAATTTATTTTTTATAGCTGTAACCGACTCGAAAGTATGGAAACTAGACCGCAAAGTGTTCCAGCAAATCATGAAACGAACTGGTTTGCAACGTCTGCAAGACAATATCAATTTCCTGAAATCTGTGCCCTTATTAGAAAACTTAAGCGATGATATTCTTAGTAAAATCGCCGATGTTTTAGAAGTGGTAAGTCGCTGTATGAAATATTCATAGCAACTGACCAAAAAACTTGGAAAATTAATTTTAAAGCGAAACTTTATTTAGGAATTTTATCCTGCTGGAGCGTATATCATCAGGCAGGGAGCAAGTGGTGATACATTCTTTATTATTAGCAGTGGAAATGTCAAAGTAACGCAACGATTACCAGGTAAGAAAAATAACTATTCAAACTAAAACCAAATAAATGAACAAAAATATTTAGGTCATTTGGACGAAGAAGAAATTCGAACACTGGGTAGAGGAGACTACTTTGGGGAGCAAGCGCTTTTAAAAGAAGACTGCAGAACGGCTTCAGTGATTGCGCTGCATCCTGGTGTGGAATGCTTAACATTAGATAGAGATTCATTCAATCAGCTTCTGGGCAGTTTGAGCGAAATTAAGGAAAAGGACTATGGAGATGCAGAGAGGATGAACCGACCTGTGTTTACAGAGCAACAAGGTAAGATATTAATCTTAAAAAATAGAGACATATAGGAGATTATTGATGAATTTCAGAATACGACTATATAAAACTGGATGACTTAGAAGTGGTTGCCACTTTGGGTATTGGTGGTTTTGGTCGTGTAGAGCTTGTGCAATACACCAAAGATTCGTCGCTTACTTTTGCTCTAAAATGCCTAAAAAAGCAACATATCGTCGATACTCAGCAGCAAGAGCACATTTACAGCGAAAGAAACATTATGTTGGGCTGTCGAAGTCCATTCATCTGCAGGTGGAGCATTCACAAATGTTCTTTGATTTTTAAGTTTCATACTCGATGGTTTTTTTTTAGATTGTACAGAACTTATAGAGATTCAAAGTACGTCTACATGCTTCTAGAGGCTTGCCTAGGTGGCGAAGTATGGACGATTCTCAGGGATAGAGGATGCTTTGATGATCATACTTGCAGATTTATCACGGCCTGTGTAATTGAAGCTTTCGAGTACCTTCACAGTCGGGGAATAATCTATCGTGACCTTAAACCAGAAAATCTTCTTTTGGATAGTAGAGGTAAATAATTGCAGCAAACTAAAGGCGATTGAATTAGTGACAACTTTTTTCAGGGCATGTTAAACTCGTCGACTTTGGCTTTTCAAAAAGAATGGGTTACAGCAGCAAAACCTGGACGTTCTGCGGCACTCCCGAGTATGTGGCACCGGAAACTATTCTCAATAAGGGTCATGATCGAGCAGTAGATTATTGGGCCTTGGGAATTCTCATGTACGAGCTGCTGACCGGAAAGTGAATATTTACCAATATTTTACAAATTAGCGGAAGTAACAGTGATAATTTTCCAGCCCTCCATTCACAGCTTCAGACCCGATGAAAACCTATAATCTGATCCTTAAAGGCATAGATATGATTGATTTTGCCAAATACAATGTGGGCAGATCTGCGCAAAGCTTGATTAAGAAGCTTTGCAGAGATATGCCTTCAGAACGTCTGGGGTATCAACGTGGAGGAATTACGGATATTAAAAAACACAAGTAAGTGATTCAACTTTTTTATTAATTGCAATGTGATTTTCGACAATGAACTGAGCTGAAGGTAGTGTACGTTCTCAGAATCCTTCCAAATCCTTCCGACATTAGTAAAAGCCATGCATTTACAATTCTGGATATTCAAGGATATTTGCTGGTTCCTCTGACATTAATTTTGTTTAAACTAGAAACGAATATCAACAAAATATGTCGATGTAAAATAGTACACAACAGAAACGATTATCGGAAACGCAGCGTTACTCTGCTGATGACAGAGAAGTATAGTTTGATTGGAATTTCAATTAAAAAAAATAATTTTCTGAATTGAATTGAATAATAATTTCCAATGATATTAATTTGCGTAGCGTCCACTTAAAAAGTTAGATTTAACTATATGCTTCACATTCATAACATACACAGATGCAAGTACAACAATATTTAATAACTATATTAATTATATAATAATTAGTGAATGAGTAGTAGCAAAACTTCAACAATTTATTAAAGCTTGTACTTTAATACGAAAATTTAAATAAATGACAAAAAATTTCTACAAGTTTCCGTTTTAGCGTGATCGTTTGTTTTCACTTTTTTTTAATAATGCCTAGGCATTTTTATTGGCTTTATTCCTTTAAGAAACAAAACATTGTAGATAATCGCTGTACTTCATCCAATTTTTCTCAATTCACATCTTTCTCTTTATTAGCTCTCTTTAATAACTTTTTTGCTCACCCGAAATACTAAATCAGCAATGTCATTAAAAAAAGATCATTATGTTAGTCAGAAATGTTCTTATTTGCTCGGAAAATCCACTTTGCAAATTTATTAATTAAAAATCATTTTTCCAAAGTTTTGATTTGAGGGCCCTAAAAATAAATCCCTGCAAGATTTTTGGAAAAGTTTTTCAATTCAAAATAAATATGAAATTAATTTACCAAACAAAATATAAAACTGAAATTATTGAGATTTAAATTAACTGTTCAGATTGTAAATCATTTTGCTTAATGATGTGAGAAAGCCGCGCTTATAGAAAAAGAATGTATGAGTTAGAATGAAAATAAAAATATACTCGTATTTGACTCGGCTTTTCTAGAAGTTGCTACTGCATAAAATCAATCATTATAAATTGATAATGTCTGCTCTCTACAATATGTCCGGTTCAAGTTAATTAGGCTTATAACAATTCCGCAAGTATAAACCAAGTGATACAAGCAACAAATAAAAGTTTAATATGCCAACATATCAAAATCCAAATAAAATAAACAGCAGAATGCAAACATTAATTAAACACTTATTCTATAGAAAAGTTAAATTCGTTTTCGTTTAAGAACTGATACACCATATTTTAATATTAAAACGGATTTCACTAAGATAAAAAAAAGCATTTCATTATAAAAAGCATTTTATAATTAACGTACATTCGGTTCTAAAATGAAGATTTGAACAAACAAGAAAGACAAGCTTATAGAAAATAAGAACGTATAGTGGTTTTCAAAAATATTAATTTTTGGTATTTACTCTGTCAATATGAATTCCTTCTGTATCACGAAGCAGTAGTTTTTAGTTATTTTTTTTAGCAACAGATGAATTTATTCCCATCACGGTTTGCTTATACAAAAGATGATAAAGTAATAAGAAATATACTATTTCTTTCACATTAGATACATTTCCAAATTGCCTCTCATAACGAGGGACAAAAGTCATCTTTCACTTTGCATTTAGATCTTCTTTGCTGAATGTAAATACTGAAAATGGCATTAAAAAGAAATAGGTTTATAGTTGTAAAACTAACATCGAGATTGACGATAATCATTTTTAATAAAATAACGTTTTATTCCACCCTTAAAAATGTTGCGTCTGTCCATTCAAAATGCAGAATATTAGTAAGAGTAGCACAAATAAACATGTATTATTGCTTCAAATAGCACCTTTAGAAACTTAGTAATTAAATACCTTAATTTTGCTTTTTTTATCATTATAGATGGTTTCAAGGCTTCGATTGGGATGGATTGGAAGCAGGAACTCTCCCGTCGTCTATTCAGCAACCAATCAGAAGCCCTACCGATACTAGCAATTTTGACTGTTTTCCGAAAGACAATGATATTCCTCCGGATGAAACATCCGATTGGGATTTGAATTTTTGACATCGGTATTAAGCGTTTAATACCTAGCTTTTACGGAACCTTGCGGTGATTATAATGGCGACAATAAGTTAATTAGTAATAATTATTATTGTTATTGAAGCAACAATTTAATTGAAATCGAAAATTAATTAATTCGTAGAATTTGTTTAGTAAGTACCTTCTTGTGCCATCTTATTGTTAAAAGGTGCAAAAAGTCTTTTGTAACACCACTAACTAATGTAGAGGCAGAGGTAAAAGTGATAATTTAATTAAATGTTATAAATTTGACTAATTCATAAATAATTTAGCTTGTTTTCTAATTGTTTAGCTTCGATGCCTGGTTTTTATAAACGGCCAATACAGGGTATTAAATAGCCTTTATTTGAGAAATGTATATAAACAAATTGGGCCAACAGTAAACTTTTAGCCATATTTCTAGAATCTACGGAGACTAGATTTTTAAGATTTAGATAGCTGTTATAAATCATATTGCTGAAAATTCTGTTAAACGCGTAAAATGTTTCCATTTTCCTTTGATTCAAACTAATTAATCGTATCTCTGTGATATGTTCAATCAAAGATTCTACCTTAGTAAGATTCGTAGCTGATAAGAAAACGTAACATTCGTTTGAGCGAAAACTACAAATTTGCTTACAAATCACTTAACTAAAACAATAAACTGAAATCTTAATAATTAGATTGTGGTAGTGCATACAAAGAGATCTTATATATTTGCATTTTAAGCGTAGCAAGTAAGTGATCAGTTGATAATATAACAGACGTGGGTTTGCGTGTTCATATCTAATAAATAATTTTTTTATAATTTTTTATTTTATTTACATATTCTGCAGTATTTTGTGTCTTTAAGATTAATACTCCACCACTAAAACAGAAAACGCTGAAAACGGAAAGTATAAAGAAGAATGAATTAGGCAAGGCTGACATATTTATAAAACACCTTTTAAATCAATAGGTAAAGGTAACTTTAGCATAAAATATGCCAATTTAAAATTCACCCGATAGTTTTCAAAGTCACTGATAAGTGTCGAAGTCATGCAGTGTAAATGTTATATTCTTACATATGTGTTTCGTACAATCTGCTTCAGTAAAGATGAATATTTGGCGTTCAGCGAAAGTTTGAGGTGAGAGCTTTTGTTCAAAACAATTAAATCACTTTTAAGAATTTTTACTATCTGCATTTAAATTGGAAAAATGATTAAAAGCGAACTGCTAATAAAAGATTAAAATTTTCTGATCTTGAAGCCTAATCCGTACTTTTGTTAATTATTTTACATATGTTATTGTTTTTAGTGATTCTGGACTTAGGATACATTTTAACAATTAAATGGAAAATGTGATAATAAGGACAGAAACTTGATTACAATTTAAAATTATGAAGAGTAATATGCTTAAATTTATAATTTTTCTGAAATCTGAAGAAATCTCTTAATTTAGAAGATATTTAATTATATTGTATTTATCTAATAATGTGTCGATATAAAGTGTTTTGTAGGATCTTTTCCCGATGAAAATCTATTAGTTACCTAATTCACATATTCCTAACTTCTAGGTAATGTGTTTTGAGCAGGATTTAAATTTGAATAGAAATTAATAATATATTACGAAGCAGCGCTATTTTAAATTGAGTAGGAAATATAATACTTTTGTAGTCAATTCCACAATTTTCATTGCGTCACTTTATAAATCCCTTCTGGCGAAGAATATTTAGTGAACAATTTTCTAAGAAGATCCAGTATTCATAAATATACACTGTACATATTTAAATTTAAATACAGGCGATTACAGCAATATAAAAGGTAGTTTGCAGTAAAAAAACGGTGCTACTACTCAAGCCTTAAACATTTTACAACAAAATATGCCAATAATAATAAACAGTTTGTAAATAAAATGACGCTTATATCGAAAACTAGCAAATAATGGTTGCATTAAAGCGCTAGAACTACCTCTATCTGATAAACGTAGACTTTTAAAACAGGCTTCCAAATAATCGAAACGACATTGTTTATGAAATTGGGCTATACTTAAGGAAATCGATGTGAGCGAGGCACGTTTTACTATAGAATACATGATTGATGAATTGGTATTTGTCGTTTTTGCAATAATTAAGTGGTTGCCTGTTATTTCATCCCTAAAACGCTTAAGAAATCGACTTAATTTATCACTTTATAGATTACCTTCTGAAAATGCCATCAAGATTATAATGTCCATTAGAATGCAATTATCTTTTTGATATAGGAAGATATGTTCATTATTTATTGTAAGAAAAACAGCTTTTTACATGGAATCAGTACGGCATAAAGAACAATTTCCTTTGATGAGTTCGGACTTTCGCAGTTTTTGAATGCAACGAGAAATGAACTGTTAACTGAGCAGCTCAAAAATGTGAGAAAGCGAAGATCTAAAAACCTGATTGAAACATTGCGCGTGATTTCCATTACACAGCTAGTCGGGGCTCTCAATTCGTGATTTTCTTAGCAGCTTAAAAAGTGGTCGATTTATCCGGCCAATTCAGGAAAAATACTTAGGAAAATTTAAAAATAGCACCTAAAAACCTAGTTTCAAATCAGTGATAAATAGTCTAATAATGAAGTGTTAAAAAACACGTACTAAACTTGACATGAATGCATAATTCATTGAATTTCAATTGAATAGTGAACTAAAATGCCTAAAATTAAGTTCAGAATTATTCCGAACCTACGGGACGTTTATCGCAATAGGTCAACTCTTTATATGTGCCCGACACGCACCTCCAAGTATAAAAAGTGACCACATGGAATGTTCCTTCCGTAATAGTGGGTGTGTTTCATGTGTCTTTTTGCCTCATTTCCTATGCGTTTGTTTTTAGTTGGGTAGAACTTTTAGCATTAAATGGAAGTCCAGGGAGACAACAATATTTATTAAAACATTAATTTGATATCCTCTAATGAATGTTAATAACATGCTCTGATAAAAGTTTGACATTGATGATTCATTTTGTGGGCACGAGTTTCCGTCTGGGGCCTAATTGTTAAGACTGTTTGAAAAAGTGTACTTTAATAGTTAAATAATTGAACAAAAAATCGTTCCTAAACCGACCTTGGATGAGAAAATCAACAAACCTATAACTAGGAGGAAATGTTCGTTTTCTCCTAGTTATAGGACACTCAACGACATAGGGGAAAGTTGAGCCCCTCTAAAAGTAATTCCAAGTTTTTCAAATTCAAACTGAATACTGTGGTCAAGAATGAAAATAATTTTAATTCAGATTACACCCGAAATGTAATTTTGATTTTTCCATAAAATTAAACTGTTGACCTTTTCATTAAACAGCGGGTCTGAATGTTATTGGAAAAAATTCAAAATTTGATTTATGTTTCTCTCTTTAAATTTTAATAAAATTCCAGAAGCTGTTTTCCATTGCATTTTTTTACATTGCATTTATATCAATATATGTACATTCGATTATAATTACATATTAACAAGCGACGCCATTGAACAAACCGTGTTCTTCAAAAGCAGGCAGAATATATCGCACTTATATAGTGTTGAAAATAATATATTTTTATGGTGAAGATTTGGGAATGGACAAGAGGAGCTAAAACGTTAATCAAATGCCTCGAACAAAACAATGGAATTAATTGCAGTGGGTAAACAGTTTTCACCAGGATGAGAATGTGAAGTTCTATAAATACCACAAGATCTAACAAACAGATATAAAATAGGATATAATAAATGAGATGTTATATTAAAAGAACGTGCAATAGAAACAACGCTATACATTTACCTAGTAGCCAGAACTTAATAGAAATGAATTAAACTGCTCAACAAAATAGACGTAAATAAAACCTGTCTGAGAGCGATTTGATTTCTGCTTGAAGCGTTATTTAGTGCCATTCTTTTTCGGTTAGTGCGTGTTTTTGCAAAAAAAATACTGGTTCAGATAAAGTATCTACGGGTGGCGCATGAAACATTTGCAAAATTGGTAAAAGTTCCACATGCTTTCGGTAGGACAAAAAGACGTTTTATGTATTTCAACACCACAGGTATTTATATAGTCGTCTTAAAAATCTGCCAACGAGTATATCTCGAAAAAGTTTTGGATTTTTAATAACCTTTTGGTCTTTTAGCGATGTATATTTTCTCTTGAACCGAGGCACATGTTGAAATTGAAGTGGCCGGTGAAATTTAATTTTCTTGCATGTACTCATAGCCTCAGAACCATTATGTGGATTGTTTAAAGACACTGTAGGCAGCATTATCCTTGCGCAACACTTGGGAATAGTTGAGAAACCCTTTTACCCCATATTCTCCAGTTCTTATCCAAAAGGAACTCGATGCTTTGCACTACCAAAGTTCACCACCTGTTTTTTCCAGCGCTGAAGTTAAAACGCAAGCGCGACCTAGAGCACAGCGTCGAAAAGTTTCGGCAAAGAAGACCTCCAGGTGTCGAGCGTCGCGGTTACCACGCTTCAAATCGCCGAAGAAATTACGTTTTTCGACTGCGAGGACGGAAGGTGATAACGAGCATCATCGTCCACGATGACACAGTAATTAATAATCATATGCTTCATTTTTTTTATTTGTTAGCACATTACGATGGGTTTTAGAGCACACAGAATGTTAACTCATTTTGTACATATGGTAGCAGCATAAATTTATTCTATGGTGAGTTTCTCGTTGTGAGCACTGCTTTCGAGTTTTGAGACACTCTTGCACTGTCTGAGAGCGATGGTGCACACGCTTCAAGTTTAAAATTTGATTTGCTTATGTTCTGTGTTGTTTAATTGGGAATAATTCTTTAGAAAATACTGCTTTAGAAACTTCTTAGACTTGTTTAAAAACGTTTAGTTGGATTGTTTCATTAATTCTGGAGAATCGATATTTTCAAAAGCTTTGTTGTCTAAAATTATTCAACATTTAAGTTTTACAAAACTAAATTGCTTCTGAAAAATGCAAAAACAAATTGCTGTGAAAGTGCAAGCAAGTGGGTAACGCTTTATAAATTCTGAAACATTCCGCTTCTGAAGAATTTTTAAAATGATTAGGACTGAACAAACACAGCGAAAAGTGGAAAAAAAATTGTCAATAAATTCTGATCTCTATGTTTAACTATGGACACTAACAATTTATAACGAACTAACTAAAGAACTAAGAACACTTAATTTATCGAATTACATTTATTTTTCCAAAAAAATAGGCGCCACTTAAAGAGTTAACATTTTTAAATAAGTGTCTTTAAGAACTCAGACCAGAAAAATTTATTTTCCAAACGACCCTGCTTGAATTTACTTACGGGATATCTAGCTAAATTAATTTTGCATAACATGGTTAACTCAAAAATATATTTAAAATGTCTGAAGAAGAATATATTTAAACTGTCTGAAATAAGACTAAAAAATTGAAGCCTTAAAAAGTATAACTAGCTCACATGAGCGGATTATTAAAGCAAATGGGCAATGAAAAACTATGAAAAATGGATTTTAATTTTGTATCATAAAATGAAGCAAGAAGAGGAATTAACTTGAAACAAACTTCAACTTATAGAAGATACTCCTGGGACGTTATTTCAAGTCCATTTTATTAGGTAGATTCAAAACTAGAATCTATCTGCAACGGCTTACAATTGCAGAAACAAGCAAAACCTTCGCATTGGATCAGTTACATAACATACTTAACAGCTACAAACCTCGCAAAGAAGTGATTACTGAGAAAATTCTATTTGAATAATCAAATACCCTCGAGCTTGTTTTTCCCATCGCGTCCTTTAACCTCGGGATATTCGATTATTTGCAACAAAACCACCTCAACAGCGAAACAAAATAA